GCCCCTGGCAGCGTTTTGTGACCATGAGGCTCTCAAGAGATACATGTTGGGGACGCCAAACGGCAATTCTAGCTGAGGCGTCCCACCAAAATCGGCGCGAACGGGCTCGTGAGATCAGCCAGGGTGGCTCCCCTTGGGGCTCCCAAATGATGCCCCTGGCAGCGTTTTGTGACCATGAGGCTCTCAAAAGATACATGTTGGGGAGGCCAAACGGCAATTCTAGCTGAGGCGTCCCACCAAAATCGGCGCGAACGGGCTCGTGAGATCAGCCAGGGTGGCTCCCCCTTGGGGCTCCCAAATGATGCCCCTGGCAGCGTTTTGTGACCATGAGGCTCTCAAGAGAGACATGTTGGGGAGGCCAAACGGCAATTTTACTTGAGACGTCCCACCAAAATCGGCGCGAACGGGCTCGTGAGATCAGCCAGGTTGGCTCCCCCTTGGGGCTCCCAAGTGATGCCCCTGGCAGCGTTTTGCGACCATGAGGCTCTCAAGAGAGACACGTTGGGGAGGCCAAACGGCAATTTTAGCTGAGACGTCCCACCAACATCGGCGCGAACGGGCTCGTGAGATCAGCCAGGGTGGCTCCCCCTTGGGGCTCCCAAATGATGCCCCTGGCAGCGTTTTGTGACCATGAGGCTCTCAAGAGAGACATGTTGGGGAGGCCAAACGGCAATTTTAGCTGAGACGTCCCACCAAAATCGGCGCGAACGGGCTCGTGATATCAGCCAGGGTGGCTCCCCCTTGGGGCTCCCAAATGATGCCCCTGGCAGCGTTTTGTGATCATGAGAGAGTGTGAGTGTGAGTGAATGTGACTGTGAGTGAGTCTGAGTGAGAGTGAGTCTCATCTTATCTTATCGAGTCCTATCTTATCTTACCTCTATTACCCTCTATCTTATCTTATCTTGAAATCTCTTATCTTGTCTTAGCTTATCTTATATCAACTCATCTTATCGCATCATATCTTGTCTTATCGTATTACTCCATAGGCTGTCTTATATTATCTATTATCCTACCTTGTCATATATCTTATCTTACCTTATCATATATTGTGCTATATTATCTTATCTTGTAGTATCTTATCTTGTCTTGTCTTATCTGGTGATTATCATTGGGAGGAGGGAGGCGCGAGCGGGAGGAAGGAGGAGCAGTGGGAGGCGTCAGAGTAATAACAAGAACCCCAATCCTTAGGATATGGGGAATGATGACCCCATCCCCCGGATCCCGACTGCCATTAATTCGCATCCGAATAACTATTTTTGATCTGTCCCCCTTGGAAACAATTCCATGGATGCCGATCGGTGCCACTTGTATACACCTCGGTACCAGGGAGAATGCCGATGTGACATTGTAGCTTGGTGTAGCCCCTTATGTCTAGCCTGGAGGGCGCGCCGGCCCTCGTTGTAACCTGGTGTAGCCCCGCTTGCGTGGCCCAGAGGGGGGGTGGCCTTCATCGTATCCTGGTGCAGCCCCGCAAATTTGGCCCAGATGGCGGTGCGACCTTCGCTGTAATCTGGTGTAGCCTTGGTGCGGCCTCGAACTGCGCGGTTTGCTGAGGGCCTTTCTGGCCTGGAGGGCGATCCGGCCTTCGTCGTAACCTGGTCTAGCCCCTCTCCTGTCCTGTTGCATCATATGTTCATCACATGTCGCCGGTCTGATGAGGTCATCTTGAGCCAACTTGGACTATATTGCGCCATCTTTGAGGCCATCTTAAAGCACTTGTGGCCCTCTCGGCACCAGAGGGCGTGCGCAAGGGATGGTCCCCAAGTGCGGTCTCTTTCCACGCCAGGCATCGGTTAAACGATGCTCAGAAACAGAGGGGTGAAGAAAGGTGCGTGCACCGTCTGTGCACCCGAGGAGCCCTCGAGGGGCCCTCTGGGGCCCCAAAGGGGCACGAAAGGTGAACCTGTCTTCGCCCCCCCCCCACCCAGCTATCGCCCCCCGATTCGGTCAGTGGTCGGATTCGGTCACGAACCATGGAAACCGCCTCGATGTCCTCGCAATTCCGACTTTAGAGTGCACTAGAGTGCGTTGGCGTCTGGTAATCGATGAGAACGCGCCGATTTATCGTCGATGAGTGTCGATTTAGCTTCGCTGAGCGTCGATTTGCGCTGGTGAGAGGTCGGAGCTGGCCCGCGGGCTCAGCACGAATTACAGCAGGCACTGCAAAATAAGAAGCCGGTCCCTACTAGATGGCACCCCTCGACTTTGTCTTGTTCCCCGACGGTTCTGGAGATTCAGTTCCAGAGGAGAATTGGTGCACCCTTGGGAAAATCAAACCCAGACATCCGACGTCACATTTTTTCCGCAACGTGGCCCCTAGATGTCTGGACCCCTTCCCGGGGACCAGCGTTTCATCATGAATTGGGCGTTGCGTAATGGGGGGGTCATAAATGGGGGGGCGTCGAGGGTGGTCCGAAAAAGGTACCCAAACGGTACCTAAACGAGCCCCCTGGGGCTCTAGAGTGGCCTGAAAGGGGTAGGAAAGGGGACCGTTTCTGACCCCCCATCTACGACCCCCCCAGTAAGCCACGCCCAAATGAATCGTTTTTGACGGTCGGTTGGCCCAGGGGGCCCCAGATGCCGAAGATTGTTTTAATTTTTTTCGTCGTGGTATAGCTTCACAATCCGATGATGTCAAGGACGATCCGAGATGAGACTTCAGATTGCTCGATTCCATATGTAGATGTTTATCTGTACATGTATATGTACACACATGTGTGCATCTTTCGGATCTCAGAGGTCAAGCCGAGCATCACCTTCTTCGGCGAGGAGTTGCCGAGGCGCTTCTTCTCGCTGAGGAGGGCGGACCTGCAGGAGCTCGGCGGAGGGCAAGCGGGAGGAGGAGGAGGAGGAGGCCTCCTCCCTCCTCCTCCTCCTCCTCCTCCTCCTCCTCCTCCCTCCTCATCCTCCCTCCTCCTCCTCCCTCCTCTCCTCCTCCTCCTCCTCTCCTCCTCCTCCCTCCTCCTCCTCCTCCTCCTCCTCCTCCTCCTCCTCTCCTCCTCCTCCTCCTCCTCATCCTCCTCATCCCTCCTCCTCCTCCTCCTCCCTCCTCCTCCTCCTGGGGGGGGTCGGATCGTGGGCCTTCGGGGGATGCCGGGCGTGCACGGCAGGCCCGCGCCGTGCCGACGCTGCAGCGACACCCCCACAGCGAGGGCGTCCGAGGTTCTCAAGCAGTGGCGAAGCGTCCCGGCGTGCCTATAGCCCTACCGAACTCGGGGGCGGAAAAGAGGGGGGTGATGACTAGGGGGGGGTGGATATCATGGCGGGGGCCATGATATTTCCCCAGATTTCATGGCGCCTCTTCTTGTTTCATTACGTTCCTGGCCCCCCCCGCCGAGCCGCGCACATGCCGCCGGTCATGATTTGCACCCCCCCTCTTGGACACCCCCCTCTTGGCCGCTCCCGACGAACAATGGTCTAAGAACCTTTTGTCGGGGGTGGACAGAACCCCCAACAGTGACACGTCGATTGGTGAATTGTCTGTTTTCGGTTCTCGAGAGGGCGCCGCGGCCGTTATTTTCCAGGCTTGCGCCCGCCAGGTTTGGGCCTCAGGTCGTTTTCACTAAACCACGTTTTACTAAAGGGGGATCTGTCCATCCCCGATTTGGTGGTTCCCACGAAGTGTTCTTAGAACATTTCTGGCTGGGACTGTCTTGGTTTAACACATCGGGTTTATGTTCTAAGACCATTGTTTTTGTTCTTACAGCATTTTTTGGTTATCAAAAAAACATTTCGTGGTAGGACTGTAGAAATGCCGGGACGGGCGGTCCCTGCTCAAAAGGCGGAACGATCCGCGAGGGGCTCAGAATCGACCCGTGCAGCACGAGCCGCGGCTTCGCAAGGCGCCGTTCCCTCGAGGCTGCGGGATCCGAGCCGCCGACTCGCCAGGGGGATCCAGGAATGCTGACGGTGGCCAAGATGGACGTGCGGGCTGTTCGCGCCGTTTTCGGGCTCCCTGGGCCCTCTGCGGCCCCCGGGACCGGCAGAGAACGACTCGGGATGAAGACGTCGTTTCGGGGGAAGGCCCAAAGGTCCAGGGCCCGTTTTCCTCAGGACCAGTTTCCCCCCTGTTAAATCAGGCGATCGCAAAGATGGAGCAAGGGGGCGTGGATTAGCGACGGGTCCCGTTTCCATGGGAGATCGCGGTTTTCCGCCGCCGGACGAGGCGGCACCGGCCGCCGTTTTGGGCAGGGCACCGCCCTCGATCCATGGATTTGGCGACCGCGCGACAAATCCATGGATCGTTAATCCATGTTTTTGCGCCCCCGATTGAAGTACGGCAGGTTCGCGTCGTGTCGTTTCGTTGCGAACCCGCCGCGAGCGTTCAAGGTTTGAAAGCTGCCCGTGGCCCACATTCGGCCCAGCGTTGAACGATCGGACCTTTCGGGAATGGCCGATCTTTCGAGGTTGCACGGTTCCCGCGGTGTCAGGAACAAACGCCGGGGGCGGCACGGCAGGAACCTGCCGTATGCTTGATTCTCTGGAGGGTTCGGTCGGTTTTGGCCCTCCTCGGTTGGAAGGAGTGCGAGCTGCTCATCGTGATGGGCACCTCCATGGCCGTCAGCCCCTTCAACGAGCTCGTCGGCATGGCCCCTCGCGGCGTGCCAAGGCTGCTCATGAACAGGCTCTCCCCCATCCGTCCCTCGTCGTCCTCCTCCTCGTCCCTATCGTCGTCGCCCTCTTCCCACCCCTCCAGCGCCTCTTCTGCCTCCGCAACCTCCTCCTCTACACCTCTTCCTGCACGCACGCCCCATACGCCTCCCCATCGTCCTCCTCCGCATCCTATACATCTGCGCTTCCTACTGACACCTCTTACACACGTTTCCTTCTCTTTCTCCTCCTCCTCCTCCTCCTCCTCCTCCTCCTCCTCTTCCTCCTCATCTCCATCCTTCTACGCCACCTCCTTCGCGTCATCATACGTATTCTCCTACCTTGAGCCTGTCTACTGACGCGTGAGTTGTTGGCTGTGCCGTCCATGAAAGTTCGCCCCCTCCTCCCCCCTCACCCTTCCCGTAGGAGTTCTTCTCAATGTGGATCGTCTGTGTGCTTCCCACTTTTGTGTTTCCTGGGTTTCGGGAATTGTCCCGGCGTGGCTGCACCGGGCTGTCGTTTGTGGGTTTCTGTTTGCGGCCCCCATCATTTGCCGCCGCTTCTGCTTCTGCTTCATTCTTTGCTCCCACTTTCACTTCCACTCGATGGAAGGGCGCGTCCAGGCTGCAGCCCCCCGAACAACGCGGAGCCGACGCGCCAATGTGCGGACCAGCTCAGTACCTTGGAGGTGGGTGGAGAGCCCCCCCCCGACCACGACTCCCAGAGGGAGAGACCCCAGCCTGGGAGGCTGAGGGGTCAGAGGAGGAAAACGCACGCATACCACTACCTTTGCGTCGTTTTTCTTTTTTGGGGCATTCAGGAGGCCCTCGTCGCCACCGCTGGATTCACCTCGAAGTTCTGGTCAGAACGCACTCTGGGAGAAGTCCGGCCAGTAGCGGTCTGGGAACCTTTTGGCTTGTCCAAGGGAGGCTCACGGGAGGCCTGCGTGACCAAGCGGGGCAAGAAGTCAAGAAGAGAGGCACGGCAAACACGCCGGTCCCCCAGACAAGGCTCCCAAGTTGGAGGGACTCACAGCCGAGGAGGCCAGGTTGATCCACAGGAGATCTGTTCATCCAGGGAAACGGCCCGGGCGCACCGCACGACGCCGAGGCACCCCTCCGGGGGCACTTCATCCTATAATTAATCCTCTTCGTTTCTCTTCTCCATCGGATCTGGCTTCGTCCTCGTTGCCATCGTCCTGGATCCGAGGCGGAGACTTACACATACTGCCTGGAGCATCGATTTGCGGAGACCTCGACAGGCGGTGGATATGGATATGATCGGGCCCACTACCCGCTGGGGCCCCAGGACACCAGTTAGGCGTTGGATGTCTGGAGTCATCTTCATCATCGTCGTCGCACCATTGACATCACCCGTGCCCTCTCATCCCTGCCTCCCTTCCTCCCTCCCCCCGCCTCCCGCCCGCTTCTCCCCGACACGAGCCTCCATACGGGATCAGAACGGAGGAGGGGGAGCTGGCGCAGGGGGAAGGAGAGCTGGCGCAGGGGGAAGGGAGGAAGAGGAGGAGAGAGGAGGAATTAGGAGGAGGAGGAAGGGGAGGAGGAGGAGGAGAGAGAGGAGGGGAGGGGGAGGAGAATGGGAGGGGAGGGGAGGGAATGGGCGGGGGGGAGATGGGAGAGTTCCACCAGGAGGCCCAGACGAGGGGGGCCTGTAGGCCTTCGGAGACCCCTGGAGGCTTCGGCGTCGGAGAGCCTCCAGAAGCTGCCCAACAACGCTGAGAAACGTCCATCTCACCCTCTCTCACCCCTCCTCCCTTCCACATCCTCCCTCCTTCTCCTCCTCCTCCTCCTCCTCCCTCTCTTCTCCTCCTCCTCCTCCTCCTCCTGCTCCTCCCTCCTCCTCCTCCTCCTCCTCCTCCTCCTCCTCCTCCTCCTCCTCCTCCTCTCCTCCTCCTCTCCTCTCCCTCATCCTCCTCTCCTCCTCCCTTCCCTCCTCTCCTCCTCCTCTCCTCCTCCCTCCTCCTCCTCCTCCTCCTCCTCCTCCTCCTCCTCCTTTTCCTCTTCCTCCTCCTCCTCCTCCTCCTCCTCCTCCTCCTCCTCCTCCCTCCTCTCCTCCTCCTCCTCCTCCTCCTCCTGCTCCTCCTCCTCCTCCTCCTCCTCCTCCTCCTCCTCCTCCTCCTCCTCCTCCTCCTCCTCCTCCTCCCCCCAAGTATCTTCCTCCATTCAGGGAGCCGGTGGGGCTCTGCGAGCGCTTGAAGGGCGGTTTCGGCTTCCACCGACCGGACAATTACCGCGACGTGTTCTACAGGCGCGGCAGCCGTCGTCGTCGTCGTTGTCGTCGTCGTCTCGTAGGTTCTGGGTTCGGGGGGCGTGTCCAGGAGGAGGCAGGAGGAGGAGGAGGAGGAGAGGAGGAGGAGGAGGAGGAGGAGGAGGAGGAGGAGGAGGAGGAGGAGGGTTCTCATCGCTGCGGCTTGGGGCGGCGCTCGAGCACTTGGCCAGGATTGGCCCCTCAGAGCGGGCTGGTCGGACGACGTCGACGACGCGGCGGCGGCAGCGACGCCGACGACGACGACGACGACGACGACGACGACGACGACGACGACGACGACGACGACGACGACGACGGCGACGGGTGGAGAAGTTTGAGCACTTTCGCAAGCTTCGGAGGGGGGTATCGTTCGGGCAGGGCCAGGACCGGGATAATTTGTTCCAGGTGAACGCTCTCAGAACGTCCCAGAGCGCGCTGGAACGACCGCGGCGCCTGGTGCATTCTCCAAAACCGTGGTATTCTCAGAGATCCACGAGTTGCCCCTGTCCGTTTTTGTACTTGTCCCGGTTTCGTCTTAGTCGTGGGCACGGTTGGACGCAGGTCGGAAGGCGGGCCAGTGTGATTTCCGTGGAGTGGCCAAGATGCTGGTCGCTTTGTTGCTGCACGGGGAAGTCAAGTTTCATTACCCGTCGTTTCTTGAAAGTATGTATTTCCGGATTCTCGAATCCTTCTTGGCGCTTTGCTTCTTCAAGAGTCGAGAGCTTTCTGTTTGTCAGGGCGTGTTGTTAGCCTCACGTGTGATTCCCCCCCCCTCAGCTTGGCCGCTAGCACGCAGCCTGTGGCGGCCCTCCGCCTGCGTCGCACCGAAGGGCTGCGGTGGACAAGCACACATTGGCGCCAGCAAACGTCCTGAGGGCCATCGATTTCTGTCGGGCGAAAAAAAATATGCACATGCATCGATTCTGGCCATGCCCATCTTGGGCGCATGATCGGTGCATATGCCTTCCCGGCCAAGGCAGGAGGGCATATGCACCGATCCTGGGCGCAGGACGGGCCTGACCAGAATCGGTGTATGTGCATAGTTCTCGTTCCTCTATTATGTTGCCCCTTCCTCTTCAGGGGGCGGGAGTAAACAGAATCCAGTTTCAACGCCGTCCTACTCCATGCCTCCACCCGCGTTTTCCGAGCGGCGGGTGCGTGCTCCTCGGTTTGGGCATCCTTGGGGCGGGCCCCAGGTCAATCCACAGCCTCTTCGGGGCAAAGCACCGGTCCATGGGACGGCATCGAGAGTGTAGTTCGGGGGCCTCCATACGGTGCGGTGACCACACCGTCTGGTGAATCGGTCGGGATTCGAGGTCACCGCACGGTTTTGGGACTCGGGTGGCCTTCCGAGGATGTCTCGGGCGATTGGAGCCTCCAGAGTCCCAAAACCGTGTGCTGACGGACCGTGCAGTGAGGTCCTGGGGGGTTTCGAGGTCACCGCACGGTCTGTCACCGCACCGTTTCCGGACTCCAAGGCAGTGCCCGTGGCCATCTCCACAGCCAGACCCCCAGACTTGCCCACATGGGTGCCCTGACCTTCCAGAGAGCTATTTTTTAGCACGGGAGGTCTAAAAGCCTAAAAAACGAAATGGAACAGCCTAGAACCAAGCCATAGAATAGCCCTGGGATAGGTTTCTAAGTCGCGTGCTATTTGTTTGCCCTCCTGGAAGGTTGGGGTGCTTGTTCTGGCGTGGCCTCCGAGGGGCGGCCCGCCGTGGCCACGAGCGCACCCTGGGAGGCCCCCCAGGCAGACACGCCCGAGAGCCAGGCCCCCCCCTCGAGTCCTCGAGCCTGCAGCTTGGCATCGCTCGGACGTGTGCATTTTTGCTCGGCGAGAGCCATCGAGGACCATCCTGGACCATCGAGCAAAAAAAAACACGCACGACACCGAACAATGCACGGGAAATGGACGTCCGAGCGGCGGCAAGACAGTCGAGGCCGATGAGCAGGTCGACCCTGCCAGGAGCGAGGGTGCTTTTGCGTCCTGTGCTCCGCGGCCCATGCCTCACACGCATTCCTGTGGCGACGTGGCCCTCGAAAGGATCTCGTGTCCTCTCCAATCAGCCCCGACTGTAGGGACCGCCTCCCGGGGGCCGCCGAGGGCCTTGAGGAGGCCCTCCGAAGCCTCCCAGTCCTCCTGAAGAAGCCCCCTCGAAAGGATCTCGTTACCTCTCGAATGTCCTCTCCAATCACTGGATGGACCGCCTCCCGGGGGGCCGCGGAGGGCCCCCGGGCGGCTCTCCGAAGCCTCCTCCCAGGCCTCCTGAAGGAGCCCCCCCCCCCCCTCCGTTGCCTTCTCGGAAGGCCACCCCCCCCTCGCCGAAGGCCGCCCCCCCCTCGTCGCCTCCCCCCCCCAACCCCCGTGCGCGCTCCCAAAGAGCGAGGGTGCACAGACTTTTTGCGTCGGCGGCGAGGCAGGGAACGTCTGCGATGGTGAGCGTTTCTTTATTCATCATTTTGCCGAACGGCGCGGGCCCTCGCACCCCCCCTCTCCCCCCGACCGTGCGCGCCCTCGAAGAGCGAGGCCACGGTGGCGACTCGTGCGCAGAGTTTTTGCGTCGGCGGCGAGGCAGGGGGACGTCTCATGGCGCCAACATCGCAGAGCGGATCTCGTTCGGAAGACGATGGGATGGGCCCAGAGTGTCCTGGAGAAGTTCGCTCCGGATTTCGAGGTGAATTTC